ACTATTTTTGTTGACCTTTGTCCATGGAAGGTCCCTGCAAAATTTCATTGAAATTGGTTCAGGGGTTTTGGAGAAGAAGTCGAAAATGTAAATTGTTTACGGACGCACGACGGACAAAAGGCGATCGCAATAGGTCACTTGAGACTTTGTCTCAGGTGACCTAATAATTATTAACACAGACAAAGCGGTTTCCTCTTTAAAGATTTACACCAAAAATCATAAAATTTGATCAGGGCATCTTGAAACAATGTTATACATCTATATATAGCTATGCAATTATTAAAAAAAACAGGACAGATCCGGATTGTATATATATACAGTTGCACACATTTTGGGCAAAACATTTTATTTAAAAAAAAGTTTTGCACATTATTGTTGGAAATCTTTTATATGATTTAATTTATAATTATAGATTTCAAAACTGCATGTGTTACTTTTGTAACTGCTTTGTGTAAATTAATGATATCCTATAGCTACTCTTAACAGAGGTTATTTATTAGCCAGCGAAGCTGTGTACAGGGCGCATCAAGGAAGTTTTATATCAAACTATATCTACTTCCTTGAATTATTTGTGGTAAATGTATCTATAGATGTGCAGCTCGAAGTATTTATCACATTATTGGTGTCAGAATCCAGAGGAAGATAAATTAAACAACATAATTTACAAGCACACAATGCAATACCACTGCATCATTAGCCTATACATGAATCTGTCATAATAGAACCCCAGTGCATGATTTGAATACAACAGGACATATTTTCCAATGCTTATATAAATTATATGACATTTAGTCACAAGGCTATGTTTCTAATTATAAAAAGTAAGGAAAACATTATGGTGAGGCACAATAAGTGTGGTAAAAAGATTTCCTACTATTAATCATCTCGTCATATATTTTCTGCGTCTTATAAAATTTTCGGAAACAAATTCCTATGCATGAATTTCAGTGTGACAGGGAGCTGGTGGTAGCAATTATGTACTACATGTACAGGTGTATTACATAGCAATATATTACAATAGATAATATCAATGAAAATGTAAATTTCAACTTATTATAAAACGAAATGGAATTGCAGTAGTGTACAGTCATGATCAATATCAATGTTTGTATTTTTCTGAAATGTCCATAAAATATTTCAGGTAAGGACTTATTTTAGTTTTGGTGGGTTGGTTAGTAACGAGGAAACATTGCATGATAGTTAATAACAATTTGCGAAGCAACGATAGAAAGCCTTATCCATATATACGTCAGACAATCGATAGGTTATCGGTGTCAACAAGCCGTTTATCGGTGGTTGTACTCTCTGATGTGCACCTGTTTCATATTTTATACTTACTTCGAGTCTCGTACGTCTTTCACGGATCTCTGTAATGATATTTTATCACTGGCAATGATATTAAATGCCTCCTTCTTAAATAATGAAGCTGCTAATGCTTTTTCTTCTCGTTCTAAAATGACGGGTTCTCCATTTTCTCCAGGACCCTTCCTACTTGATTCTGAAACCTGGTAGTCTTCGAAGCGTTTCCGCCGTTCTTTTGTGTAAACGTTTGGATTGCGTAATTCTTTTGAATTAAAGTAGTTCATATACACATATATTGCCGTCGATATTAAGGCGATTATTGCTAATATTTTCCAACTTAAACGTTTTCTTCTGAGGAAACGTGGCAAATTCATGTTGTCAGTGTAGCACTCCCGGACGGTTTCGGCGTTGTACGTGATATATGTCTAAACATCCGAGATAATCCGAACGTTTCAGCTGTCAATAACATTCGACCCAAAAGACGGTGTGATTTTTCCGTCACAAGCATTTTAAACAATATATATATCTATCAAATATCCATGCCCGTCCTTGAGGTTGCCTGTGACTTTCATGTAATACTTTTTAATGTGAAGTCAATTATTATACTTTTGGTTTTAATAATAATCACTAGAAATATAAGAAAAGGAAGCACCTATCAGCTTCTATGGCCCGATCGTTTTATTTTTTGTATTATCGAACCAGAGACGTATTTATTACATATACGTCTCTGATCGAACCATAGAGCTACCAGACTGTACAGTGCGATATAAGCGACTTCGAATGAGGTCGGGAAACAAGACAACATACTGCGACTCTCCTACCACGGATGCTCATTTATGACAGACACATATAAAGGCAGTATATATGTCTCTGCTTATAATATATCGTTTTCTCCTCAGTATCATTTTATTTTCCGTCGATTTTGCAAAACATACAACATAAGCTATCAATAGCTTGTTTTTCGACAAAAACATGAGTATAATAACAGAGACAAAACATTACAACATGAAAAAATAAAAAAACATGTTCTGTTATGTAAGCACAGAAAAAAGACCTTATCACATGGAAAGCATTTTTTGCACATAGTAGGCACATTGTACATGGTAATATAAGCACACTAGCACATTTAGCACATGCTTTAGCGTATTTGCATACAGTACATAACAAAACATCACATGGAAAGCTCATATACATATATATACTAGGCACATTTGCACACGATAAGCACATATAGCACATGTCTGAGCACATCAGCATACAGTTAGCATACAGCACGAAAACACAAACAACTGGCAATATTTGGCACATCACAGAAAAATGGGTTATTAGTATATTTCATTCCTAAATGAATAGGTAGACAATTCCCTGTTAATTAGTACATATAGATAATCAGGTGACAGCTTACTTACAATTTTAAAAACTTCACAAGCACCGAGTTTCATTCTAGTGATATGTATAGGTAAGATGATTTTGTACAAGTTACAATGTCCTTGTTACATTATTTGAAGTATAATCATTTAGTACAAATCTAAGTTCTCTTTCGTGTAGTTTCTTCATCTTGTTGGTACTTGATTTGTTACAGAAATGCCATATGACCGGACAAAAATTGAAATTTAACAATACCAAAGATTTAAAAATCAGCATCTTTACATACATGGGTAGACAATTTTCAACACGTTTCAATACAGCCAACTGTTTGGAGGCTTTCCTGCAGATTTCTGATATATGTTTATTAAAATCTAACTGTGAGTCTATATCAATTCCAAGTAGTTTTACGTTCTCCTCACACATTATATCTACACCTTCAATATCAAGATTATTAAAAGAATTTTGCTGTTTCCAAAATTAATAGACTGGGTTTGCTTATAAACAGTTAGAATAATACCAATGGATGAGGACTTTGGCCTCTCTCTCAAGGACCTGCTTTTACACAGATGCATGTCTGCTGGCATAGCTCAATGTGTGTTGTCGTCTGCATATTTAAACAAACAGGAGTCCTTTATATAGTAAAATATATCATTTATAAAAATGTTAAAAACTAGGGGACCCAATATAGATCCCTGGGGTAGACCCTTCCTCAGTTCACTCCATTCGCCGGTGCTGGGTCCCAAATATCCATTAAGATAGCCCCAACATAGTTTTGGTCATCCAAGGTCCTCTTCCAGTCTTCCAGCATGCGCAGCAGGGTGGTCTGGTACCAAAAACCCCGTCATGTACGCACTGAGAATGTAGACATTTAATCATGCATGATCCTTCTAAAAAACGTTTGAAATGCCAGGTAACACAGTCACAGGCCTATGATTTGACTTTAATAAATGGGAATGACCTGTGCAAGTTTAAGATTTTCAGGAAAAATACAGGCCTTAAAAGAAAAAGAAAGAAAAAAATGCAAACACTGTACTAATATGATCTGTACATGATTTTAAATTTTTAACAGAGAAACCGTCTACTCCAGAAGCCTTTAGAAGCATGTACATGTGCATACCTCCAATCACAAATGTGGACCGTCCACGTCTTTTGAATCCATAATATATCTATGCTCCGCCCACAAATGTCAGCCATAGATTGTCCGATAATAAAAACAAAAATTAAAAAAAAATATACGATCGAGTCTAGAAGCTACGGTTCCAGTAGCTATCAAAACATAGATGCAGAGAGGCAAACAAATAAACGTTTTACTGAGCGTATGACATTTTCGTTTATTTAGAACTCACCAGTGGCGCTAAAGTTTAAAGAATAAAAAATACTAACAAACTATCCAAACTACCATTAGCTTTTTTTCTGTTGATTTTCGGGCCCACCCTGTAGACCACACGCTTCCTGACCTTAACCTGTATATGCAAAGTCACAAGGGTCAAATGTGTTACGAAACAAGAGGCATACAATCATAACATACAGCCTGTAGCTTGATAGTATGAAGCAATGCGAAGTGTGAGAAAAGAAATGGCCTTGATCGATATTCAACGTCACAGCTAGAGGTCACATCTGATACAATACTCAAACATCTTTTTTTTCTAAGGAACAAAGCAGACTAGAGTACGGAATTAGATTATCTAACTTAGTCCGTAGACTAGCATCATGATATATCGCTAGTGGCTTGCTGGGAAAAAAGGGTTGAAATGTTTATGATCAAACAATACCTTGACCTATATTCACGACCACACGATTCAAAACTGTTAAAACACTCAAACAGCTGTGTATAAGAAACGTATGTTTTTTAACAAATTTATTGGTTGCAAATTAGCCTCTAATTTGGAAGCATATCATACCCATAGAAATTATGTCACTAAAGTTTTCAACGCTGAACGCTGTGCTGGTGGTCCCAAATCAAACGATTTCTGGCCCACCATTAAACCATTTTTATCAAATAAGGGTTCTGTACATTGCAACAATGTGATTTTAAAGGAAGATTATATATAATTAGGCCATTATCAGTGATGAAACAGAGGTCAGCAATGTTTTTAATGTTTTTATGTAAATTTTACTTCCAATATTGGTACAGAATATTCTTCTGATGAAACTCTTTTAAGAGAGATTAGGACACACAATAATGATGAGTCAAAATTTTGTTTTAACCATGTTTCCCCTTTCGTGGTTGAAAAGGCTATCTCTAAGGTGAAGGCGAAGAAGGCCACCGATATCGACGGCATATCTTCAAAACCACCACTGTTTTGATAAATCAGAGTCCTTTGCAAACTGAAGGAGGCACAAGTAGCTCCTGTTTTTAAGAAGAAAAAAATATTTTAGATAAACAAAAATACCGACCAGTCAGCATTTTACCTTGTATATCGACAAATTTTGGGGAAAAAACGTGTGATCAACTGACTGCCTTTTTTACTGATGTTTTTCATCCTTTCCTTGCAGCCTTCCGACCAGGATTTGGGTGTCAATCCACCCTGTTGCGACTTGTTGAGGATTGGCGTAGAGCACTGGACAAACATATGCTTATGTCGCCGCCGTACTGATGGACCTCTTCAAGGCTTTTGACTGTCTTCCTCATAACTTGTTTGTCAGGAAGCTGGAGGCCTATGGCCTGAGTAAAGCCTCAGTTAACCTGGTGTCCAGCTACCTGAACAGCAGGAAGCAGCAGGTAAAAATTGGCTCCAAATGCGGTGACTGGCTGGAAGTGCTATAAAGGGGATACCCCAGGGTTCTATTTTAGGACCCTTGCTTTTTAATGTATTTGTAAATGACATGTTTGTATATGTGATATCCTATATAAATTATATAATTGTGCAGACGACAACACTGTCAGTGACTCAAATAAAGACCCGGATGTTTTAAAACATAATATTGAAAATGACTGCCAAATGTAACAGACTGGTTTGAGCTAAACCAGATGAAAGCAAACCCTGATAAATTCAAGGCCATTTGTATAGGGAACGTTCGGTAGATGCTATACAGTCTGTTCCTGACAGTATTGTCGAACTTTTAGGTGTTTGACTCATTTTTGAACTTTGTAGCTCATATCCCTGTTTGTAGGAAAGCCTAAAGGCAATTGTCCATTTTAAAACAAATTGGGAGTTTTTTAACCAAACATGGTAGACTTTTAATTTATACTATTCTTTAATTGTTTCAAATTTTAACTACTGTCCCTTAGTCTGGCACTCTTGTTACATGAAGAGTGTCAGAAAGTTAGTATACATATTGATCGCAACTCATCCTTCAGGCACTACTGAGTATTACCAACAGCGATACGTTACATGTAAGGCGTCTGAAGGATATGTAATGTGAGGTTTTTAGAATTATTAACAAAATGTCTCCTGAATATATTCATAACCTTGTAAATATTAAGATGTCTAATTATGACTTCAGGAAAGAAAATACTGCAGAGGTGCCCATGGTCAACACTGTGAAGAATGGACAAAAAATATTTGCTTTTGAGACAGCCCGGGTGTCTCCCCAATGACTTCCAAAAAGTTGAAATCTTCAAAGAATTCAGGAGGCTGGTTCATTCCTTGGGATGGCCCTATCTGCCTTTGCAATATCTGCAAAGAGGGATTCTTCATGGTTACCTCTGCCACCTGACATTTTGAATTGTATATACTATTGTTGTTTTATTTCATTTCGTATATGTATTAATCCTATTCTATTTGCTTTGCAGCATATTATTCTTGTTTCAATTCCAAACATTTTTAAAAATAATATTTTACAAAACCTTTTTGTTAATTGATTTCCATATCATTTTAATTTCACACTATATTAGTGTATCTTTTTTCAATTTTTATTCTTTGCTATATTAGCATTGCATATATATTCCACTTGATAGTGTTTAAAGCCTTTCGTAATTCATGTGTGATATGCAAGTATTCATTCACTATTAATTGTGTCTTTTATTTACTTAATCTGAATACTACTTATCTGTGATCACATTAATTGCTTTTCATATCAACCCTTT